AACTTGTCAGGCATAGAAGTGGGACACTCATTCTGAGAGTCATCCTATACTCACCTAATGGCAGTTTGGTCACAGACTCCTGGCCTTCGAATCAGAGGAAGACCGTGTACTAGCTCAGCAAAGCACTCACTAAATATACCATTTCTTACACCTCAGTTTTTTTCATTTGCATACCAAAGAGTTTAGTTTCTTAAGGCTATAAGTTAGTAACCTGTGTAGTAATCATATGTGTTTTGTTTGGAAAGAAACAGAAAACTGATTACGTAAGAGAAAATCCAGATAAATCTATAAGCAAACTATTAGAACTAATAAGTGAGTTTAGTAAGATTGTATGAGACAAGATCCCTTTACAAAAATAAATAGTATTTTTACATTCTGTCAATGGCTAATTTGAGATTGAAAAAACAATAGCATTAAACAAAACCCCATCAAGTTCTCAGGAATAAATTTAATGAAAGGTTTACAAGACTTGTACAATGAAAATTGCTAAATGATACTTTGAGAGAAATTAAAGAAGATCTAAATAAATAACGAGATATATTATGCTCATAGATTGAAAAAGCTCAGTATTTTTAGATGTTAATTATCCTCAAATTTATCTATAGATTCAGTCAAAATTCCAGCAGACTATTTTGTAGAAGTAGATAAGCTGATTCTAAAATTCAAATGGAAATTCAGAAGAACTAGGATAGCCAAGAAAATCTTGAAGAAGAAGAATAGCTGGAAGGCAACTTAATTTGAGATAAACTATGAAGCCACAAACATTAAGTTATTGTAGTATGAGCATACTCACAGACAAATAAATCAGCAGACAGAATAGAGAGTTCAGAAGCAGGTTCACCCCTATACAGCAATTGAATTTCAATAAAGGTACCAAAGAAATTAAGCAGGAAAGGAAGATATATTCAACAAATATTGCTGGAAAAACTGGATGTTCTACAGAAAAACAAAACCAAAACCTGGACACCCTTCCTAACACCATACATAAAAGTTAATTCAAAGTAGCCCATAGACCTAAATGTAAAATCTAAATGGATATAGTTTCTGGAAGAAAACACAAATTTGCTCACTGTAGAATAGGCAAAGACTTCTTAGGGCAAATAAATCACCAACCACAAAAGAACACAGTGATAAACAGAATTTTATCAAAATTAAAAAACTCATCCACAAAATACTCTTAAGAAAATGAAAAGGCAAGTCACCGACTGGGAAATGTATTCTCAATACACACATTTGACAAATGACTTTAATCCAAACTATAAAGTGAACTACTAAAAATAAAATTTAAAAAGACAAGCAATAGAGGTTTTGACACACACTTCACAAAAGACACATGACTGGTTCATAAGTACCCCAAAATGGAGCCCAACATCATTACTATTTAGAAAAGTGCAATTAAAACTTTAAGAAGGTACCACTTCACACCCATAGAATGGCTTAAATTAAAAAGACTGATCATACTAAGTACTGATAATGATTTGAATCAACTAGAACTCTAATACATTGACACTGACAGTGTAAAATGATTCAACCAGTTTTGGAAAACAAGATTTTTTAATAAAGTTAAATGTGTATCTTTTCTATAACTCAGAAGATATACCCAAGAAAAATAAAAGCACGTGTCTACAAAGAGTTGTACAAGAATGTTCATAATAACTTTGTTCATAATAACCAAAAACTGAAAACAGCTCAAATGTTCATCAACAGAAAATAAATAACAAAATGGTAGGACAGTCACATAATGGAATTTACTCAGAGATTAAAAGAACTGTTGATACACACAACAATATGAATAGATCTCTAAAGCACTATGTTAAAAAGAAACCAGATGGAGTATAAACTTGTGATTCCATATATTTCAGTTCAGGAACAGTAATACTACTCTAGAACAGGGGTTGGCAAACTTTTTCTGTAAAGGGCCAGATGTAAACATTTTAGGCTTTGTGGCAATAAATTTTTAGTATCTATATTCATTTGTTTTGTCCTGAAAGCAAAGAAGTTTCTGGATCAAAGGCAGACTATTACTGCTGACAGCACTCATTGCATAGGTTCCCTACTCCTAGTTCTCTCCCTTCAGGGCAATGTGCACAAAGCAGGAGTTTAGGCCTGCAATATAAAAAGGAAGTTTTGGAACCACAGGAGAGGAACCCCAGAATTACGTATCCGGGGGTTTATATGGGAATGCTATTCAGCTGCCCTCCACTCCTTCTCAGAGAAGGACACACATCTTACCTCTCTAATGTAAATACATCTTCACAGGGAAGAAAAAAGGAAGGTCCTATTTTACATTCCTTTGAAATGAAAACAAATGGCTTCCAGTTTCATTCCCCTTTGAAATGTAAATACACACCCTTCAAATGTGAAATAAAAATTTTCTAGGAGACAAATGGAAGCATTCTCTATTTTTATGACCTGTCAACTTTCATAGCTCAGGAGCCTGGGTCTTTGCAGGAACACTGAAAAGTCCAGAAAAGACTCACTTCCCCAGTGTGGGCCATAATGCCTCAGTCTCAAGGACTCAACCTTGCACTTGTAGTGTGAAAGCAGCAGTACACAGTGCATTCAAAAATGGGTGTGACTTTGTTCCAGTAAAACTTTCTTTACACAAAGAAGTGGTAGTCCAGATTTAACTGGTTTGAGCTGTAGTTTGCCAACCCCTGTTCTAGAATGATAGAAATCATATCAATGGTTTCCTCAGGGATGCTGCTTATTGACTGATGAGGAAGTCAAGTGAACTTTCAAGACAGATGGAAATATTCTTCATTTTGATTCTGGCAATGGTTATATGGGTATATATATTTGTCAAAAGTCATGAAACTGTGCTGTTCAGATCTGTGCATTTTACTTTCACAAAATTTACCTGATTAAAAAGAATCACCACAGACTCCTGCAGACATTAAAAAGATAATAAGGAAATACCATGGACAATTTTATGCTCTTTAATTAACAAACCTAGAAGAAATGGACCAGTGCCTTGAAAATCACAAACTACCAAATTTTAACTAAGACAAAATAACTTGAATAGCAATATAACCATTAAAGAAATTGAATTCATAGTTTAAAAGCTCCTGAAGATGGTATCTCTGGGACAAAATGATTTCACTGGAGAATTCTGCTATTTAAAGAGGAATGAACATGAATTCTACACAACATTTTTCAGAATACAGAAGAGTAAGGAACACTTCCGAATTTGTTTTATGAGGCCAGTATTAACCTCATACTAAATCAGAGGAAGACAAAAAAAAAAAAACCCCCCAAAACAAAGCAAGCCTATAGACCAATGTCCCTTAGACACAAAAATCCTTAACAAAATATTAGCAATTAGAATTCAGAAATATTTAAAATGTATTACAAAATGACCAAGTAGGATGCAAGGCTGGCTTAACGTTTGAAAATCTATTGATATAATCCACCCATATCAACAAAATCCTAGATCTTATAAATTCCAGTTATCTACAAAGCAGTAAAAATCAATCTGCCTTCAGATACCACTTTTCAACACTAAATGCTGATGGAGTCTCCTATATTTAAATAGTAAATAAAAGATATTATGTTCCTAATTTGATAGAAAACACACACATCCACATTCATGTGTGCACCCTCCAATACATATACCTACTTCTACATAGATACGTTTTTTTTTTAAAAAAGGGAAGAAAAGATATATATTTTAAACGGTGGTGTTTCTAGGCAGCAGAATTATATATGGATTGAGTATTCATTTTAAAATATACTTTCTACAATGGGCTTGAGTATTTAGATCTAGGAAACAAATTAAAAAATATAGTCTGAAGAGACAGACGCATTGTTATTTCTCCTAAGTAATTTAACTCAGCCCTTTGAAAAATCTTAAAAATTATTTCAAATGTCATTATAAATTATTCTATAATTCCCAAGAGACATGAAACTATTTTCACAGATAATTTCTCTCAATGTCTTTCTATGTATTTACGATAATGTGTGAGACAATTACAGCTTTAACCACTGAGCACCCAACCAGGCTTAAACAGACTGCAAAATGCATTAACATTGACATATTGAAAAAAATGATATAATTCCCCAGCATGAACTATTGTGGTCAAGTCATAAGAAATTACCCTTTTAAAATGTACCTTAAAAACACTAACTTTCCATTATGACAAATTAGCTGCCTTCCATAGATAGATAGTATTGTGGAAATATAAATGAAAAGTACACTGGTGGTCATTATTATACTGATAGTCCAGCATTAATATAATGTCCAAGAATTAGATTTAATTACACTGAAAGCCCCATGATTTAATCTGCCACTGGTTTCTTAAATAATCAATCTGAAAAGCTGAAATAGTGGGTCTGGGGGCATCTTTACCAAATGAAAAATTATATTTTCATTAACAATAACACATCAGTTTTTGTTGTAAATGGACATCAATGAATAAAGTATGTATTTAATGTTATAGCAGGGAATCCCAGATATCCCTCTTTCCTGGTCAATATGTTACATACATTTCGAAACAACTCCAATTCCCCCAATTTAAAAACTGTAGATGTGACTTTTATTCCTTGAATGAAGGAAGGTGTAGAGGACAGTAAAATAACTAAAAGTCTTTTTTTATGGATCCTAAGGAAGTACACACCCATGTGCACACACACATGTGTACACACACCCATCTGAGGTATGAGTGTTAGCAGCATCTCCATTTATCCACAATAAAGGGGGCGCTGGAGAAGCAGAGGGAGCAAAGGGAAAAGGGCCACTTAAGAGAAAAGGAGTCTGAGTTGACATATAACCTCCTCTACCTTCTCTTTCTGCTTTGAACTCTTATTTATTCTACTCCAGAAACTCTACCCAGAGTCTAATCAATAAAAATGACATTAACATACGTTAAAGCTCCTCTAGGTTCCCTACTGTACCACAGGGGTGTAACACCTCAAAACTGTGTTCTACACATTCCCTTGCCAGCAGGATTCAAATTAGAAACTATCAATGAAAGGCACTTGCATTAGATTTGTAAGAGAAGAGAAGGAAAAGCCATTATGCTTTAGCTTTAGACAGACCCCAGGTAGATGGCAGAGGTAAGGTTTTACCTTCGACATTTTGACATCCTCCTGAGTACAAGCCACTTTGAGGCTGCAGGTATCTATGATCTTTGGGGTTGGCTTACCTGTAATTCTTGCATTTTCTGATTTCTCAAAAGAGGCCTTCCTGGCCTCCACTCCTACCTTCTTACAGTTGTGTGAGTCTTTAACTCTGTGTCTGATCCACAAAGCAGCAATTTCATATGGTTCAATCTAAAAACAATATAAAATTTGAAACTATTTTCAGTAAAAATGTTATCATAACACTGTCCATTCCCCAAAAGGGGCACATTTCCATTTTAAACAAAAAATGGGCTGGGAAAGTATGTGCCTTTTTCACATGGAAAAAAAAGTATGTCTACAAAAGGTATAATTCCAACATTCCACACACATCCCTTGTTACTGCAGAAACATTTCTCCTTATTTGGCTTCTTCAGCTCTTGATGAGCTTGGGTCACTCATCTTCTAATTCCATGTTCAGTTTCTCCTGGATTCGAGACTAGGCCATGCTTTATAAAAGATGTGCTTACTTTACTTCTCAGTCATACCCAGGGACCCCTCTGGGCAGACCTCACTCTTTTTCACAAACTGAGCCAGGAACTAGTGTCCTACTTTCTTCTTAACTGCCCTGTCTAATAAATCTGGAACCCTGTCACTTGTTCCCGAGTCTGTCCAACAGCCAAGAGCCCAGTCACATGGTTTCTGGGTCTGTCCACAAGTAGCAGGGACCTCAACAAGTGTCACTTTGCTCTGCATGCCTGTCAGAACACTTTTTTTTTTCCCATTTGGAATCCCATGGTGTTGCTAGATATATTGAATAGAGACTAAATATTGCTATATTACTGTGCACAGTGCTTAGTGTACTTCATTAACATTAAGTAAAAGAATAAATGAAAAAGTATTGTTTAGAGCATGCCCAGGTTAATGAGAACCCAGAGTAGGAATCTAAAAATATCTAGAAAGAGCCTTCTATACAAATTCATCTGAGGAATTCAGGTCATACAAGCACTGGGTTGAGGTTAAGCCCAGATCTTTGCCTACTTGGTCAGAACTGACTCATGACAGGCTAATTTTTTCCCATGAAACAGTATGGTCTTGGGCAGACAACCTGAAGTAGGTAAGTATGATTTTCATCCACATGGCCGAGGCTACCTCACCAGCCTCTAGTTCCCACTGAAGCTTGTAGAAAAGAGGAAAGAAGTGGAAGGAAACCAGTTTCTTTTTTGGACAACTTGACCTGGAAGCTGCTTATATCTCCCAGTGCCCAACATCATATGACCACGCTCATGTTCAAGGGAGTAATCTCTAGTGGTAATGTCATGTGTTCAAGCTAAAACTCAGAGGGTTTATTACAAAAATGAGGTAACATAAATGGTTATTTGGGGACAATTAACAGAGTCTGACACACATGGAATTTCAGCCCTAGATGAAACCAAAGGCTCACTTATTTGTTCCACTGGGTTTTGCTACATCTCCATCTTACACATTATAAGAGATATAAAAATTTTAGGCAGAAATGCAATATAATCAGATTTGCATTTTTGAGTGAGAATTCTGGAGAAATTAGAAAGAGGGAGGAATATATTAGGAAGCACTTGTAAAAATTAAAGCACAAATGATAGTTTAAAGTAGCAGTTCTCAATCTTTTGGTTTTTAGGACCCCTTTAAACTCTTAAAAATCATGGAGGGCCTCAAGAAGTTACAATTATATAAATTCTATCTATTGATCTTTACTATAATAGAAACAAAAAGCGAGAAAGCTTTAAAGCACAAGAGCAAACACATTTTCTAGTAGTCATCAGAGTAAAGATGCCATCACATGTCATGTAGCTTCTGGAAAATTCTGCTGAATATTTGGGAGACAGTGAGAGTAAAAATGGACAAACGATATCTTAATATTGTTATGAAATCGTTTTGACCTCATGGACCCCTTGAAAGAGTCTTAGGAACCCTCAGAGATCCCTGGATTACATTCTGAGAACCACCGGCTTAAACTAAAGTTATGTCAGCAGAGACGTCAAGGAGAAATAAGTTTAAAGACCTTAAAGGAGTAGAAATGACAGGATTTAGTGACCTTCTTCAACAAGATATAATTTACAGACACAACCTCCCTTCAATATTAGTTGTTATTGTTTTGAAAATAACATTTAAGGAGCTTTAAATAAGTGCTTTGAATGTGCTTTAAATACTTAATTTTATTTACTCCTTACCTAAACACTATGATATGCTGCCATTAAGGTTTCTTTTCTTTTCTTTTTTTACAGTTAGTATGTACAACGAATAATGTATAATTTTGTAGTAAGCAGCATATAATTTCCTACCTACCCAGAACCAAAATTCTTTTAAGGCAAGTGAAGTTTTGAGAAAAAGCTTCTGGCCAATGCTTTAAAAATTACCCTTGCTTCAAGGGAAGTTTTCTTCATAACAAGCCGGTAAGATTCTGTTCTCTATTGCTTCTTCAGAGAACTGATTTCTGTATTGTTTGGTTTTTTTGGGGGGTGGGGTGGGGGGAGGTAACTAGGTTTATTCATTTTATTTTAATTTTTAGTGGAGGCACCGGGGATTGAACCCAGGACCTCATGCATGTTAGGCATGCACTCTACCACTGAGCTATACACTCCCCCTGATTTCTGTATTTTTTTTGATTCTGGTTCTGACACTGTTCCTGTTCTGGTTATTCAACATTGCTTACTGCTCAACTTTTGTTCCATCTGTTCTGACTCTATCTTTAACCTGGATTCCATTCTTATTACTCAGCTAAACTGAGTTTCTCAGCACCTGTTCCAGCTTTCCTCCCGTTTGTAACCACCCCATTCTGGTATGTAAACTGATTTTCCTATAGCCCAATGGCAATCTGCTCCTACTCCCCCCAGATATTCTGGGATTTTCCTCTGGTCATTATTTGCAAGGTAACACCGTAACCATCCACTGCTCACAGTCTTCCTAGAGTTAAAGCCTTTGGTTTCTAGTGTCAGTTCTTTTGGATCTGACAGTAGAGATGAGAAACTACAGGAGAAAATGTAGCAAGGCCAAGAGGCATGAGCTCCAGAGAAGAAAAAAAAAATGTTTCTTTTGATCTGTAGGAATTGCCAATAGAGTATTTGAGGTTTTTGTTTGCTTGTGAAGTACATTAACCATAATTATATGCTGTAACTATGAAGTGTAGATGAACAATAATCCATAATCAAATATCCAGCTTGTATTCACATTTTCTAGATACCATCTTACAACTGACTACATTGTTGTTCTATATTTTGCTTGTTTGAATCAAGTTACAAATAAGTCCAAATACTGCAATTGTTTGACATGTCTCTTAAGTTTAATTAGGCCTGTAGAGTCTACCTCTTTCTTTTTTCTTTTTATCTTACATTCTTTGTTCAAAAAAACAGGTAGTTTTCTAATGGATTTTCCACTTTTCAGGTTGTGCTGGTTGCACCCCTGTGATGATCCCTGTATTTTGTGTGTACTGATTGTTATATCAAAATGCATTATCAGAATACTGCAGAGGTGATGTGTACATCCTCAGGAGTTACATAACAACTAACTGCCAGTCCTTTTATTTATTAAATTTTTAAAAATTTTATTTTTTATTCAAGTGTAGGTGGTTAGTTTCAGGTGTATAGCAAAATGATTCAGTTACACATATACATACATACATATTTTTTTTCTTTTCAAATTCTTTTCCATTACATGTTATTGCAAGAAATTGAATATAGTTCCCTGTGCTATACAGTAGGTCAAGAGTTTCACTTTTGGGGTGGGAGTAAGTAATTAGACTTATTTATTTATTTAAGTGGAGGTACTGAGGATTGAACCCAGGACCTCGTGCATGCTAGGCATGAACTCTACTGCTGAGCTATACTCTCCCCTCTCCAAGTCCTTTTATAATCTTATTGATGATCATTTTCCAGATTGATTAATTAACTTGGAATGTAAACCAGTAATATTTGAGTTTCAAAAGCTTTATTTATTAGTATGAACACTTCCATAAAGAGAAGTTTCCAAATATAAAGTAATTGCTTATACTGAGGTACAGTTAAAGAAAAGCAGGATAAATGCAAGAGTCTCTCCTTTCCACCCTCTTATGCCAGTGGGAGGCTATTCAAGCTGCACCCTGAATCCTTTTCCTTGGCTTTAGTAGTCATTGAGAGCGTCTTTGCTTGCTGGTATAACAAGAAATCCAGGCTATCTTGACTTTTCCTACCCAGAGCCTGGAGGCATCTATTTCTTCAAGGATCCCTGGCTCCTTTTAGAAAGAATTCATAGTAGTGACCACAGTGTGGATGCTAGGCATGCTCAGAGCGACTGAATTAGTCATTGTCTCTACATTTTTTCAGTGTACAGAATTAGGAATATGTTTTTGTTTGTTGGTTTTCAAGATATAACATATCAGGAAACTAGAAAAATAAGAGCAAATTAAACCCAATTAAGCAAAAGAAAAGAAGTACTAAGAATTAAAGTGGAAATAAACAAAATTGAAAACTAAATCAATAGAGAAAATCAATGAAACCAAAGTATGGTCCCTTGAGAAAAATAAATAAAATTGATAAGCCTCTAGCCAGACTAAATACAAAAAAACAGAAGAGGATACAAATTACTAATATCAGAAATGAAAGTGTGACCATCACTACAGATCCCTTGGACATTAAAAGGATAATAAAGGAATGCTCTCAACAACTCTATGTTGACAAATTTGATAACCTAGATGAAATGGACCAATTTCTTGAAAGACACAATCTGCCAAAACTCACAAAAGAAGAAACAGATCATCTGAATAAGCCTATATCTATTAAAGAAATTAAATCTTTAGTTAATACTCTTCCAAAAAAGGAAGTACCAGGCAAAGATGGGTTCCTGGTAAATTCACCAAACATTTAAGGAAGAAATTATGCCTATTCTCTAGTCTTTTTCAGAAGATAGAAGCTGAGGGACTACTACCTAACTCATGAGACCAGGATTAACTTGATTCCAAAACCAGACAAAGACATTGTAAGAAAACAAAATGATAGTCTGGAAATAGCAAAACTATGGAGACAGTAAAAAGAAAGCAGTTGCCAGGTGTGGGGGTTGCGAGGGATGAACAGGTAGAGAACAGAGCATTTTTAGAGCAGTGAAAATACTTTGTATGATGTTATAATGATAAAAACGTGTCATTGCACATTTGTCCAAACCAATACAATGGATAATACCAAGAGTAAACCCTGGTATAACCT